TAGTTTTATCTATCTATCTATCTATCTATCTGTCTGTCTGTCGAATTTCAAATTGGTTTAATTCTACTTCCTTATATTCAAATTGCAAATCTGCATTCTGTTTGTTGCCTGAATTTAAATTCAGGAATTGAATTTGAATTTCGAAGGCTTTCTAATACAATTTTGAAAACATATTTTACCCTTAAATTAAACGTCTTTCAACCATCTCTGCTGAACAACTAGTCAGACTAGTTGGCCTACACCTTGAGCATCACACATACATGCACCTCCATCTTGAATGTGACATAGAATCCAGCTCCACTGACGTCTGGCCTGCGGTCCACTCATGGGTGCAGTGTCTGTAATTTGAGCGATAAATAGGAGTTGGTTTAACAGTTGTGGAGAGAGTTGTAAATCTGGTCTGCGTTTGTGGTCTCAGAGGGTTTAATTAGTCCACAGATTCCACTTCTAACGTGACGAGGTTCGCTCAACACCCCTCCATAACGTGGCACAAGCGGAGTGCCCCTCCGTCTAAAGTCCGCGGGCCCCCGGAGAGCCCTGTAGCAGTCCAGAGCTTAAAGACTCAAAGACAGCCATCTCAGCCTGTATAACAAGTCAACAGAGAATTAGCTGATGTCATATCAATTGAGCCCCTTGGTCTCTTCAAGTCACGAGTGCAGACTCTTCACTGAGGAGGAGTGAGGAAAACTGTCATTGTAATCCCACTTCAAATAATCCGTTACTAAAATGGTATTCGTAAAATTGCATTCGGGTGAAACCAAAGGGCAGATCTCTGTTCAGAATCAGAATCAGAATCAGAATCAGAAAGAGCTTTATTGCCAAGTATGTTTGCACATACAAGGAATTTGTTATAGTGTCACAAGCTTCCAGTACACGGAGACAACAACAACACACAGATAATAAAAATGAGATGTGAATAAAATACACATGCATAAATATAAACCACAAAAAAAAGAATAAATTGTATGTACAGGTGTGCTATAGATAGAATAGGAATAGAATAAAATAAAATAAAGTTGTAGGGATGTACTAGGATTTAGGGTGATAATCCTCAGCTGGCGAAGGAAGTACAACCTCTGCTGGGCCTTTTTAACAGTGGAGTCAATGTGAGTGTCCCACTTCAGGTCCTGAGAGATGGTGGTGCCCAGGAACCTGAATGACTCCACTGTCGTTACAGTGTTATCCATGATGGTGAGTGGGGGGAGTGCAGGGGGGTTCAAGCTGTCATGTAACGTTTGTTGTACATTTTTACTTTCCTACTTTCCACCAAATACACTTCCAATATGCAGATTGATTGTTTGAATGCTGCAAGTCAGTATATATTTCCAAACTGTTTTTCAGACTTACAATTTCCGGTAAACCTGGTGACAAATCCCACTTATTTGTGTTGTAGGAGGGGCCTGAGACCAGAATGTCATGGAGATGGGCAGTATGCAACCTAGCAACACCTTAATTTAATTAATTCTTGCACTGCATCAAATAGTGTGAGGAGATCTAGCAGAGAATGCACGAGTACATATCAGCAGTAAAACTTTCATTAGAGCACAGTGCTATATCTAGCCATTTATGGTGTCAAAAGCATAAAAAACAAAACAAAAAAAGTTGAATCCTTCACTTGATCCATATGCTTTATCTCAAACCTTTTCTTTTAATGGATTTGTAAGCTTGATGCTGTTTTCCAGATGGCTATGTACCATTATAAATCTGTCTTGCATGTCAAGCTACTATGTTATAATATGAAGATTTAGAAGCGTTAATCTTACCTACTAACAAACAGTACATATATTTGACTAATTGGGCATATACATCGCAATGCTGCATGACTTGATACATTCTTTATATTCTATATTTTATTATCTTGTTTTCCTTCAGCTCATAATATGTTCTGGAATGGACTAATGTGCGATCGCTGATTATAAAGTCTCACACCTTGCACCAAATGGTACTGTTTCATCATATTTTGTGCTTTTTAAGAATAATGCAATGGTTTTATTTCATGTCATAATACCACAAGCTGTCACATGATGACAGTTGAGCTGTATAAAATATTGAGGTATGGTTTCTACAGGATTGGATGTAATGCGAAGCTGAATATAGTGTATATCTGGGCCAACTGGCAGCTGATGCAATAAGACGTTACCAGTGCTGTGCAACAAGAAGCAATGTACAGATTTATAGATCAAGAACATGTGACCACAAGACCGTTTAGGTCTGAATGTCTGCTTAATAATACAAATAAAATGCATGCAATTTTGTTGCAGCTTCAAAATGGATATAAAATTGTCCAAAATACTTTAATCTGATGCATTTTTGTTTATACAGTATGGTTAGTGGAGAACAGATAGCAACTGTCAGCAGTCTACTTTTTTATGTATTTCTCCATGAAGTTTTTTTTATGTATTTCTCTTATACATCTTCCTTTATCTGCAGATTATTCTATTAACTAAGATGTTCTCTACACTGAATAGCACGGTGTATGAGGAGAACTATCAGAGAACGCATGAGGACATATGAGTAATGCATCAGCAGTAAAACTTTCATTAGGAGCACAGGAAGTGCTATATCTAGCCATTTATGATGTCGAAAAAACAGAAACAAAAAAGTTTAATCCTTGACTTGATCCATATGCTTTATCTCGAACCTTTTCTTTTAATGGCTTTGCAAGCTTGATGCTGTTTTCCAGATGGCTATGTACCATTATAAATC